AGTCGCCAATTAGTGTATGGTGGGTGCACAGACATTATTGTGTATTCTGAGCAAGTAAAGCGGAACAACGTAAATCAGAATGAAATCAGGTTCCGGACAAACGAAGCCGAGAAACGGCGCCGAGAGCGGCACCAAGGGCATGTCGTCGGGAGGAGGCGCGCGCCTCAAGCTTGCAACGATTCTCTTCGTCGAACTCAGAGATTGATGAAGGCCGCGGCATCTCAGGTCGCTGTTGAAGGGATTTAGAGACGCCTGGCAGCCGCGCACGGGATGACACTCGGGGCGTGCGGCTGTAAAGCGCTCGTTGGGAATTCTCCGCGCTTGATTAGACGCAAGACAGGTGCGTGCCTGCAGGTTCCACGTTTCAACGAGAAAGAGATCGTTTTCTCCACTCAATTGGTGGGCGGGGGAAGACTGGGCAACCCTCAAACAGAACAAGGGCTGAGGCAGGAGTAATAGCGGCCTCAAAATGAGACCTGACCTACATGCTTACCGTGAACTATTGTCCCGAGGGAGGCCTGCGACACAAAGAAAAGTCACGTGTTTTTTGTTTGTTTTGTTTTTTGTCCACTCGCGCGTGCTCCCTTCTCCCGCTTCGGGTACTTTCAATTGGAGGGGAGATCCCGGGGATTTCTTCGAGTTGCCCGAAGTACGCTCCAAGCGGAGCCGCTCCGCTTCGAGTGCCTTGACCGAGATTCGCGTCTTGGGAACCGTGATAGCGGGACTCATTGTCGGGCGCAAGCAACAAGGCTCGCCGCGCTCTCGGGTATCGCCGGTCGGGCGGTTATTCGGAGAGGGGAGCCCGCACCGGCAAGAGCACCCGAGCTTTCTCGACGGCAGAAGGTCGTTTATTCCAACTCGGCAAACTCGAGCAAAGAATCGGCGAATGCGAAACTGAACACGTTCGTGTATGTAATGTTTCCGGGGGCATGTTTAGCGAACTCTACTGCCATAGTGAGCCGGGTGAAAAACTTTGTGACGCGACGCCGACCGCCAACACACGAACGTCCGCATAAAAAATACGGAAGTTGTCAAAGCTGGTAAGAAAACCTTGATCAGGATCCTCCAGGTAAGTGACAGCCGACGTTTCGCTAAGAGGCTTAGTTTCTTCGCAGCTGAATCAGAAGCGAGTGTCATGGTGAAACGTCTGCTGTCACTCTTTACCGCCGAATTCATAAACGGTAGTTGACTCGATACTCCACTCAAACTCTACTTGAGGACGGTTCTGCGCTTAATAGTTCGAACTCGACTCGAAACTCAACTAGTCTGAGGAAATACTTAAACCCGTTTCTACAAAATCTCAATGTAGCTTCCGAACTACCTCGAGATTTTCCTCGAGGCTTGAGGTGGTTTCTGGGTGTCATGGCGGCCGACACATCGTTGAGGAAGTTAGTGGATTTTGTACTCAGAACCGACAAACTCCAACACCACAGCGAAGACGAGAGTCTTCCAGTGTCACGGCGTCTTTTCGGGAACCGGCTGAAACTATCGGTGGAGGTGTTCAACGGCTGCGAATTTCTCGCGCGCTACTGCTTTACGAAAGCGCCGGTGGCCAGCGTCCTGATGTCCCTCTCGCTGGAGGAGTGCGAGGACCGGCTGTCGTGGTCTGCGGGTCCGTCCAATGCTTCAGCTGTTGATTGAGCTGCAGTTCTACGGCACTGGGAAATTCAGGCGCACGGTAACCGGCGACCTGGTAAATGTGTCGCAAACCACATTATGCCGGGTCGTCGGGCAAGTGTGGCGGCTCATCGCTAGCACTGGTCAGCACGTCGTGCCACCGTCTTGTCAAATTTCTGGGGAGCGCGGCGGACTTGGATCTTGGGATGGGAGACTTTCATTAACTCCAATTATACAGTAAAAGTTCTCGTTTGACACTGTATGAGCGAAACGTGTCAAAGAGGTGAATTCGCCATTACTAAAGGCCCATCCACGCTGTAGCATTTGACCTCCTGACTACCTCGGGCGAAAGTGACAGCCATGCGTCAATAAACGCATTTTTGATCAAGGTTATGAGGGCTTTTGTCGAGTTACGATCGCGAGACACCGGAACATCGGTGCTTCGGGCATGGCAACCAATTGAAGGAGTGGTTCTGCAGGCGACCTACGAAGCAAGGATGTCCTGGTAACCCGCGGTCATTTAAACACGTAATATTAAGTAGTCGAAAGCTACTCTGTGCAGGCTTCTTTTTTGTCTGGCTGTCTTTCTTCATAAAGCAATGCGAACAAGCTAGGGAACTTTTATAGGTTCATCACCAGCAGCAATACTACGGATATGCATAGGCTTTCCAGCCACACGTACGAAGTACCAAAATTAAATTTCAAGCTCGCGCTTAAATGAGCATGTTGAATTTGCAGGATCCATAGGCACTGACACATTAATTGTGCTCTTAGTGCCAGATGACTGGTTTCACGCGGGAATTCAAACCGTAATCGTCACCGAAGCTGAAAACCGTTTAGGACCGAAATTTATTTAGTTAGCGTTACCGGATCGAAACCGGTATTTGAAATTTATGAAAACCGTGACCGTAAATTACTTACCTTATATATATATATATATGTATATATGTGTGTGTGTGTGTGTGTGTGTGTGTGTGTGTGTGTGTGTGTGTGTGTGTGTGTGTGTGTAACCGATATCAACAGGAAACAGTAACAGTAACCGTAAACGTAACCGAAACGTTATGTTTTGCGGTTTGAGTCCCTGGTTTCACGCCAACACAAGCACATAAAAACGTGAGCCTTCGTCAAGGGGGCACCAGTGCCTGCTATCTTTTATGTTACGGTTGCATTTCGGAGGATGCCAGAGGTGAGAACTGGGCTAGTTTGTAAGGTACGCAGTTAAAACAACTCTTTTGCCCATTGTTGACAGAATGAAAAGCGGTCGTGCTTGTATTAACGGAAAAATAACTAAAACTTTCACGCTGGCTACAGAAAATCTTGAAATCCACCAATTCAGTGCGTGTTAGGCATATTCTTTTAAAGATCGCGAACACATGTATTCATATTTTGCGTCAAAATTATTCTTCGGACGAAACATGTTGGCATAATTTTCTTTCCAAACGACCCCGGGAACAGTGCAGTGCGAAATCTCGACGAATTTCTCCGTGGAGAAATCGTCTTGAAGCTCCTGTGAAAACAAATGCCTCTTGAGTCGAGGTGTACATTTTTCCTCCACTCCACTGAGTGGAGTTGGAGTTGGAGTCGAGTAACATTTAAGAATACAACCGTGGTAGCTTTCCTAATACCTCGTTGACAAGAACAGGCACCACTGAAGCGTGTCTTGTGTACCGACATGACGTGTTCTTGTACAACAGAGCTTGTCGAATGTTCGTTCGATGGGACTAAGCCTCGAGGAGAACGTGGAACGATGACCACTGCGATTCACGGACCAGGTCTGGTATACAATTAGGCCCATTGAGTGTTTCGGCCAGGGAATACCTTTTCCGCCGGAACACTGAGCACAAAGCCCAACCTAATTAGTGTCCCAGCGAATCATCGCATCTTCCGGTTGAAGGAATTAGCCCTGGTCACTTCCTAAACTCCTTGCACGAAGCGGAAAGATTTAATTTAGGGTGAGGATGTGTCGTCATTTCCGGATTCTTTTTTTTTTTTTTTGCGTTGGTTTATGTGAATGAGGTGCCCGAAGCTTCATATCAGTTTTTCATTGTGATTCTATCGTGTTTTAATTTTCTTTTTTAGTTTTGCTGTCTACGCACTTTATAAAAAAATATTCCCGCGTGTCTATTTTCCCGCGGTATGATCGCAATGGGGGCTGCGGGAAATCAGACACACGGGCATTTTTGAGAATGAGCGTCCGAGACGCCCTCCGCTCTTGACTACACGCTTAAGCGTGTTCGTGCCACGGGTTGCACGGAACGCTACTCGGTGGTGCTGCTGTGATCGACGATGAGCGTTTCGTTTCCTGCGTCGAATCCTGCGAGGGAACCGCCAAACGCGTGTTCCGCGACCTTTTCGAACTCTATACGTGGTCGGAACCATCGCCGATTCTCGGTCAATACGCAGCTATAAATACACGTGGAGCTCGAAGAGATCGCAGGATGCACGTGCAGCGGTTCTTCTATTTCGGACGAACCGGTCACCCCTGAAAGTCCAAAATTAGAGCCGTGCTGGCGTAAAGTCGGGTGCGGTACTATATTTAATACGGCGCATGTATCCGCGGCCGTCTTGAGTTCGTCTGCCGGTAAGCGCGTATGTTTACAAAGGGTCGGCGCACAAACAGACGAACACGGAGAGAAGCCACTGGCTCCGTACGCCGACTTATAAAAATTTACGGCCTTGCACAAGTTGGAGCGGCCAGGATCGCTTATTTTCGCGGGAAAACGCATCGGCCCTTATTTTTGGCCGCTCACGAACCTACGCTGGCGGGCTTGCGCTGCACAAAGGGCTGTATAGCGAGAACTCATCGATGCGCAGCTTGGAGGCTGCAAATAGCCTCTCGGTCGGCGGGCCTACGGCTGCCGACATTGAACGTGCCCGTGGTGAGCCCTCGATCTCGCCGTGCTTGAAAACGAGAAATAGGGGGCCAACCAGCGCCTGCCTGATATAGTGTACGCTGTGCGTCAACTCGAGATTTCACGTGCGACGCTCGCAAAATAACGTAAAACTGCAACATTCGGATCATCGATCAGCTGCTTTCGTATGATCAAACGTTAAAAAAATGTTTTACTTCTAACGGACTGTAACGTGGGCCACTTTCTCGGTTAGTAAAGACAGCGGTCGCTACTCCGAGTTGGACGAGTAATACAGCGCGTTACTTTTATATTACCAGTTTACGGGTCGTACATTTCGTCCTTTTGCTTCTCGATAAGCTGCCCACCACGCCAGCGCTTGCCTGCTGCCACTATGGCGAGATTATTAATGCCGCCCCCATTTCCGCTCATGAATGCGCCATGAGAGCGGCTCGCCCAGTATTGATCTTCGATCGTTCACTCGGTCGGGTGGTTACTGATTTCCGATCATTTTGTCTGCTTGTTTCCTTCCAGACGAGGACAACGAGAAGGCGGTGATGGTCGTCCTCAACGGGGAAGAGTCCGAACTGGTCTTTATCGAACACGCGCACCAAGAGGAACAGGTGGGTGCGTCTTCCAAATCGAGATTCCCGTGTGCCGGCGAAAAACCCCGCGGCACTCGGCGCCGAGAGCACGTCTCCTTTGTTGACGGCAACCCCTCAGTTGACGGCACAATCCAGAGGGTGTTATCTGTCGTGAGATTTGTTCGAAAATTTATTATTCGATCCCATGTCCTCCCAAAAAGTTGTTTGCGTCTGGTGCTAGGTGCGCTCTCTTTATATGGTGAACAAATAAGGTTTAGTGTGCACTGCCATAGATTGATTGTTACGATGGTGGTTGTTCTAGGAGCGTAACAGTTAATTCTAAAACTAACACAAAAAAAAGGGTAAAGAAACAACCAAAAAATTGGCAGTGTTGAGAAACAAGATCTTGTTTGTTGACATCTTTTCTTTAGTTCCGAGTGCGAAAGATGCCATACGCGTATCAACACCTGCTTGCTTCCACCGAGGACTGTTCTGGCACTCTTGCCTTTCCATGATTACTCTCGTTCAAACTCGGTGTCACAGCTGATTTCAATATTCTGAAGGGGTGAAACATTTGGAAAGACCACTGGTGCGTATGTCAGAAAGAGTTTTTTTTTTTTTTTTGTGATCTTACACCTCGAAAAATGGCTTTCGCCGATTTCTTTGCAACGCAGAAATCTATTTGTGCGGATAAAAAAAAAAAGAAAGCTTAAAACATTTTTCATTTTCGTTGCGTCACAACTTTGTGGTAAAAAAAAAAAAATCCAATGTATAAAGCAATCAGAGCATTTGTTTTTTCTATTTTTACCTCGATCATTCATCCTAAACGTATCCTTTCGAAAGCAATCTTTCGGTAAGAGGATGAAAAAGATAAACCACAAAGAATTGCGTCAAATCGCCGTTCAAAAAGAAAAAAAAAAAAGTTTCGACTTTTTGTGTTTGTTGTTTCGCGCTCTTTCGTGAGCTCGCGTCAGATAAGCTTTCCGCTTTTGCATTTGAAATAAAAATAAACGCTCGTGTTTATATTACCGAGAAGCTTTTATTTTTCCTTTACTTTCTTGTTTGTTATGAAAGTATCACATACGAATTGCGAAATTCAACACCAGAGACGCGACTGACAGAAATGCGTACCAGTGTGATGCGTAAGGGGCGGTATAAAATTGCAAAAAAGGTAGCGTGTAGAAACAATCGGACTCTTATTGTCGGCCAAGAGTCAGTTTCCCAAAAATGTGCGTGTGTACACAGACAGCGGGTAAGGGTTGGGGGGGGGGGGGGGGTTATACCTTTCCATAGAAGGCAGCCGGTTCGGCTTTTAAACCGTCGGTACTCTACTTTGAATATTGACACTTTTGAGTGCACTTTAGCATTGGTGCTTGGGAGCCGGGCACCGAAGCATAAAGGCGCCAGAATTGCGTCGAGAATTCTCTGCCTCGAAATATTATTCAGGGCTAGTTCAGCTTTTAAGTCTCCTTTTTAGAACGCCTCGGGTGTTGCTTTTTCGGTTCAGTCTGTTCAAATATAATATTTTCGACGTAGAACTTTTTTGTTTCCACTTAAAAGAAGTGGAGGTAGAATATGGAGCCGTAAAATTTTTTTCGATAACCTCGGAATATTTTTGCTTAGGTGTGCTGTTGAAGACATGGTTTTCAATTGGCAGCAATATGCTTTTCCCAGTATTGTTCCAGTGTGAGTTAAAAAGAAAAAGTAAAGCAACAGGAAGAACTACCCTTAGTTCTTGATGTGATCTAATGTTGTTTGCCGTTCTTATTATTTTTTTTTTAGTGCGACGATTCGTAAGTAATAAAATACTTAACTTAGTTCTCAGTGATATAAAAGTTCATGGCTACCATGACATCCGGGGCAATAAACATCAGGAGTGGGCTCGACGAATGGCGTCCTTTTCGGTGTCTTCTTCGGTCTTGCCATTCGTCGAACATCCTCCGTGGATTCCAGCGAACGGCTCTCCAAGTGCTCGGCGGGAAAGAAAACTCATTGCATTTTTTTTTTTAGAGTGTTAGACGTGTTTTTACAAATCTCGTTGGACTTTCTTCCCGAAATGGGTGAAAAACCTCAAACGAGATTTTCAAAGTCGTGTTTCCAAACAGAGAGCAGTAATAAGCCTTTCTTGGTGAAACGATACAAATAAATAGTCAGCGGTAACCACTAACCCACTGGTAACAACTAAACAGTCACCCGCAAAGTATCGAAATCAAATTATAAACTGGCGGTAAGAATCACGCCAGTTTTTTGCTTCTCCTGCCAAAGCATATGAGCGCTGTTCTCTGTTTTTACTTTTTTTCTTTTTCCGAAACACGTGGCGGTCGCATTAAGCATTAAAAATAACGACGACCTAAGCGGATTTTAGACACGCCGGCCGCTCCAGATCTTGAACTTCAAAGTAGAAGCAAAGCAGCCCATCTGTAAAGCTTTTTTTTTTCTTTTTTTTTTTTTCGCGCGTTGTTTTGAGATTTGATTTGTTTAATCTTTTTCTAAGGCCGAGGTTCCGAGAAACTAAATTTTTAATTAGTTTACAAAGGACTGAGATTCTTTAACAACAATTTATCTGCACAAGAGTCTCCTTCATCAATTCTTTCTAGCGGCTTCGTAAACTAAAACATGCCGTGTTTAAGACCTGCCTATGTTGAATATCTTTTTTTTTTTTCCATATAAGTGTAAGATACATATAGACCCGGCCTTACCTGCCAGTTATGGGTCAGGCAAAAGACAACAATAATAATAATAATAATAATATTTAATGCAGGTGCTTCAAAGACAACTATATACACATATCGGAACCGTCAAAGCCCTAAAGGCTTGTAGGACTAGTTCCCTACAAATTACTTAAGGCACACTCAAGGCAAGTCTGTACAAACCTTTCAGAGATCTAAAACGCGTGACAGAGAGAAATATATACAAACAGGGGAGGTAGTGCACAGCGCAGAGAAGTCACATCAAGTAGAAAAAAAATGAAAACAAAAAAATTAATCGTCACTTTAAAAAAATGATGTCTAGGCAGAGATGGGCAGTAGTAATGATAACGAAAAAATCGATAAATCGTGGTGGTTACCAATCTCTCTGTAGGGCGCATCTTACCATGTTGCGAACGCCGCTAGAGTGCGCAGGTATGACGTGTTTCTCCAGGACCTATGAATAATACAATGATAATGATCTTCCCCTTTTTATCCAGAATATTTTCGGGCAGGGACTCAAACCGTAACCGTAACCGAAACCAAAAACCGCTTAGGAACGAAATTTGTTTAGTGACTGCAACCGGAACGAAACTGCTATTTGAAATTTATGAAAACTGTAACCGTAACCGTAAGTTATTTACGGGCAACCGATATTAACCAAAAATAAAAATATTAGTTTTTCTGAAGAAAGACTTCGAGGGGGGATCTTGAAATGTCGTTGCCATTTGACGGAGTTAACGTCAGCGAGTACATCTGGTAATTCATTTCAGTTAAATCTAAACTTACGATTAAGAATACTTAGTTGGATTCAGTGGTCGAGCTTATAAGGAAGCCCAGCTCTGTTTTGTTGATTTACTCCACGTAGCAGCATTGTACTATGGGAGGGCTATAGCTCTGCTCCTTCCTTTAGTGTGGGGGAAGCCTCTTCTGCATATCCTATAGGTTGCAACAAACTATGGCGACGAGAAGGTGCGAATGGTGCGTCCAGCACCCATTGGGAACTTCCTGAGGGTTGTTTACAAACGCTGCCGAGCAACAAAGTAGCGGTGTTTTTTTTATTATATAGAATGCGATGATCCCTGAGTAGAGGGCGTAACGTGTATGCTTGGGTATCAAACTATATAATGCAAAAAAAAAAAATGTAGTGAACAAGTGCTGGAGCTAGAAACGTGTGCAACTTTTGACCAAGCAGAAGAACCGGAAGGCGTTTTTGAGTTACTGTTATTGGGAATGTCCCGTTGTTGGAGAGTATCTGGGACTACTTTAAACCGTTTATTATAAAACGTCTGTCTAGCATTTCAATAAAACATTTTTATCAATAAAGCAAAACAATAAAACAAAACGATTCAACGTGGCGGCCGTGACGAAAGTGCGATCTATAATAGACCTTTTCGGCGCAACCGAGCGAAAGATACTGAGTCACTGAGCTGGTGGACGCAGCGTCTAATGCAGAGCACATGCTCAGAAGGCATCCCACAGAAAACAAAGATGCCAGCGCGCTGAATGCGACTTTTGGAAATGGTCGGTGATAGCAAAGTCCAATGCAGCGCCGTGATGTTGCAGTTTTGGCGTTGCTTGATTGGGTCCATCGGGTCGTCGGCTGCAGTTGGTCTTAGGGTGAAACGGAGCATGCGCCGAGAGAAGAGAGGGGAGGTCCGAAACGACGAGCTCTGGTTCCAACGATTAGGTAGTGGTTAGACATAAACCTATATGCTCCGTTTCACTTTAAGCGCGAGCGACGCCGAAGCTACAAGCTCGAGCATGTGGCCCTGAACAGTGCTTTCGCTGTACGAGCGCGCGTGCCTGGCAGGAATGCTGAAAGCCCGGAGCTCGCTCTTGTATGCTCCGTTTCCCCTTTAAGCTGAGACTGCAGCCAATGCCACGAGCGCGAGACCTCGAGGTCGCTGCTTTGAAGCGTTCTTCCGCAGAACGAGCACTCGCGGCATAAATGCGTGTCTCATAGCCTGGAACGCGGTCTATAGCTCGCACTCGTAGTGTTGGCTGCAGTCTCAGCTTAAGAACGAACGGAGTATAGTTTCTGCCAGGCTCACAGTTGAAGTGAAAGGGAGTCTGCCAGGCTCACACTTAAGGCCTGTTCACACATACAGCGGAGCGTTACAAGCATAGCGCTGATCTCGCGCTAAGCGCGTGCTGATGGGAGCGTTCTCCAGCGTTGTATCGCACCGTCAAAACTGTTGTTAAAGGCAGACGATAAGTAGCTGAAAACACGTGAGCAGCGCTACATCGGCGCTTCGCTGCATGTGAGAACCGGCCTTTAAAGTGAAACGGAGTATAGCTGCCTTTAGGCTGGTTCACACACTAAGTCCGAGTCCGAGCGAGTGCGACTGTACGGCTGTCGACGTACGGGTTGCTATGGCAAAAACTGCGTCGGCTCCAACAAAACGGGGTATAAACCGAATTTTGTTGGAGCCGACGCAGCTGTTGCCATAGCCGTACGTCACAACCCGTTGCAGTCGCCCTCGGTCGGACTCGACGCCAGTGTGGGAATCGCCTTTGTCTCCACTGCACTCGTCGAACGCGTTCGAATGCGAGAGCCAAACGCCTGACGCCGGCGTAGCGTGTGCTAACGCGTTTGACGAGTGCAGTGGAGAAAAAAGTCCTTTAGGTCTACCCCAAAGTCATTCCAATCAGAACTAGGCGTTCTGACGACAACGCGCTCTCTCTTCTTCTCCTCGCTCTCTCCCAGTTTCTAGGCGCATAGCCAAACGCCCCACAAACGCTCCCTGTCCCGCTCTTTCCTCCACGTGCAGCTGCAGACTAGGACTCCGCTGCCCGGCCTCAAGAGCCCTCCTCCGGTCTTCAACCCGGTAGCGGCGTACAATCCAGACGCGTACCTGGTGGTGTACAACGTGTGCAATCGCGGCAGCCTGAAGACAGCCAAGGAGTACCTGTCTCTGATCCGTCGGTGGGACAACGTGGACCACAAGGCCGTCATCCTGGTGGGCAACAAGACAGACCTGGTCCGCCTGCGCACTGTGGCCACCGACGGTGAGGCGATCGGCTATGGGCACCTCGCATTAAAAAAACGCTCAGGCGCGGACGTAAAAAGAGAGCTGCGGCACAGTCTGCGTTATGATCGCTCGCGACTGCTTAGGACGAGAAGGCAGCTATACGGCAACTGAGGTCCGTGCAACGCGTCCAAGTGGAACGCTGGGAATCGTAACGAAGTCGGTCCCACTCAGATGCGAATGTCGGAACCAGCCTCAAGCCATGGTCACGCTGCTAATGCATCATACAAAACACAGTCTGCAGTTACTGTCTGAGCCAACGAGATCAAAATCAGTTGACAAGCTGTTTAGAACGCGCCTTTTGATGGCGCTCGATACCGCTGGCGCAGAGATGCGCTCCGATAAGAAAGGGAAACCTAGAAACGCGTTCAAATTGAGCGAGTTTCTGAACGTCGTGAGGACACGCAGCACGGTGAACGCAGCCACGCGATCGACCAGATAAAGTCCTGCTGGCGCGCGCCCGAGTAGCCTTAGAGTAACTATACATGCTCCGCTTGCGGAGCAGAGTACCGCAATGGTGCCATTCTGGAGCCAAGCACTGCGGGAAGCCACGGTCGGTTTTTGCAGGGGACGCGAAGGCGCAGACTCGAGGCGGCGTGCTGTAGCGTACGCGTGCTGCGGCGCGCTGCGTAAGGAAAATAGTGCTGCGTGAGGCGACGAGCCGCGCATGCGCCGTCATCGTTCGCCTGTCGTTTCCTGTTTTCCTCTCGATTGCAAAAATGGGACCCGCGGATCCTGCGGGTCGCGTGTGAAGTGAAGTCGTCAATTCATTGCGGTAAACGACGCAGCGGCTGACGAAAACACCGTCCCCTCGCTTTCGGACGAGAGCTCGCCGACTCGCCAAGATGGCCGGATGTGCCGGTCGCGTATCGCGTATCACTCCGCGAGAGCCGGAGACGCGAGGAACGCGATCGTCGTCCATGTCGTCTACTTCCCATACCTTGGAAACGGATGTCCTAAAACATCGCTCGCGTTATAAAAAAAACAGGATTGTATTGTACCCAGTTGGCGCACATAATCTTCAATGACTTGGGAAGCTTTCGGTTCGTTGGCATTTTAGTCTAGGATCTATATTTTGCGAACTCAACGCGGAAAATATGTTCCCCCGAAACTCGGCGCTCTGGAAGGCCGCTTTCCCGCACGAAGGTCGGATCCAGTTCTGCCGACGTGACCACTCCTCCGCCAATACGAAGATGGCGGCGAAAGGAAAAGGAACGCGATACTCTGGCTCTGCAAGCAGAGCCTATACAGTTACTCTAAGTAGCCTCAGCCGACAGCGCCTCCGCCGTCAAAACAGCGCAACTGAAAAAAAAAAAAAAAAAAAGAAATAGGAATTAGTTAAGCCAAAAAAGCGTATCGTTCCCATGGCGTCCGGTCCCGCGCTTTTTCTGCTTCCCGAGCATCTCTTCCGACCTGCACGAATGCTGGCTTGAACACCGCGCCAGAGATCTTTCCGCTTCAACGCATTCATAAAACTTTTATTGCCGCTATTGAGGCACGAAAGTAAGGTCAATGACGAAGTAGTGTTTAGGCAACACGTGTAGCGCTGGTGCCAAGTCCTGCATCAAGTGGTGCACCCAGAAAATGACTTTAAAAGCAAGCATGTCTCCCGTAGAACAGCGTGGAAAACTGGGATCGGGACATGTGGCCGTTAGCTGCATCGGGACATGTGGCCGTTAGCTGCCGTTAGCTGCGGGACATGTGGCCGTTAGCGCATCTGGCGGCGCTGCTTGCAACCAAGGCGAGGAGACATGCGACTTTATCTGGAAGCTGCGATGCGCTCGGTGTACACACCTACATGCCGAGTGTTTGAGCGGCTTTCAAACATCCATAAAAATAAAGTGGTTGAGAAAAAAAAAAAGATATCCTTTCCGGGAATAACCTAATAGCCACGGCGAACTTCAAGGATTAAAAAAAAAACCTACTAATTAAAAATAATTTACTGAAATTTACTAATTAAGTAGTTGAAATAAACATAGGGTTTCAGTAAAAAAAAAAAGAAAAAAAACTTGCTAAGCATCAAAAGAAAACCACTAAATGAACTCATTTTAAAAGCTAAAATAAGGAAAGCTTTTTACGGCGTCCCCCCCCCCCCCCCCCCCCCCAAAAAAAAAAAAAAAAACGCTTAATTTGGACGCGTTTTTAGGTTTCGCTTTCTTATCGGAGCGCATCGTTTGCGCCAGGGGTCCTACTCCCCGGTGGCCGAGGCGCGAAGCGACCGCCTCGCCTCCCTCGTGTACGATGGAATGGCGCGCGTGCGTTGCGCGTCTCGGCCTCCGGAAAGCAGGATCGCTGGCCGCTCCGATACGCTCCGATAAGATACCGAAGCCTAGAGACGCGTCCAAATTTAAAACTTTTTTTTTTTGGTACGCCGTGAAATTTAGTGGTTTTCGATGATGCTGGCAAGTTTTTAATTAAAACCCTAGGCTTCTTTTTACTAATTAAAACGTTAATTAGTAAAGTTTAGTTATAGATTATAGTACTATGTTATTTGCAATCCTTGACGTCCGCCGTGGTCGGCAGCTTGTTACCCAAAATAGTTATTTTTTTTTTTTTTACCTCAGCTATCCTATTTTTAGGAATATTTGAAAGCCTTCGCTGAAACACCTGGAACACTTTTCAACGTCGATGGGACTGACGGCTGTACTCTTTGTTTGAGGATGTGACAATAAGGGTGTGTCGCGTTTGTCACGGGTGTATAAAAGTGACCTTTCGCTATCGTTCGCTCCTTTCTGCTGCGGCGGAAAAAAGGAAATAGCCCTACAAGGCGTGACGTCATGGGTTGCGGCTAACGTTGCAGCAACAAATTCCGACGACGCGATAACGGAATCAAGATATTTATAAACAACAATTTTTTCTTTTAAATTTTGGTGACGTCAGTAATGCTTTAAAAGTTTGCTTATAGTGCTGAAAGGAAGGCGGCCATTAGGCGGTCGCGTGACCGACCAACATACCGGTTATTGGATTCTAGAGACGTAAGCCGTGATCATTAAACGCGTCTGCTTTATATTTCGATATAACCATGGGTGCTCGGGAGGAACAGGCCTAGAGATATTGATTTTTTTAGAGTGTCCTTTAATCAGATTTATATTAAAAAAGGCAAAATCTACTAGTCGAAATTGAGTGCACACCATTAGCACCCAAACAGGAACAAGAAAAGTTTTCTTCGCTAACTTATTTCCAAGCTTTCTTTTTTCTTTTAGAAGGCGTGGGCCTCTTAATTTTTTTTTTTTGCATCGATAGTTTTAACGAAGCTTAGATTATATTATTTTTTTTTAAATAAAAGCCAGTGGCATCTGTCAGCATCTTACTGTACCGTAAACAACTTAATTCCCTTCGTTGCCCTTTCTTTTCAGAAATATATTGACGGCATCGAAAATGATTAAGCTCTGTTGAACTCTTTTAGCGCAGCACTTGTGGTTTTGAAATGTATTTTCATTGTTGCAACTTTCCAGGGCGATTGCGAAAATTTTAAGGAGGCGCCCACACAAAGTGGCGCTATAAAGAAACGGCGCTAAGAATTGTTCCGTATCTAATCCTTCTATGCTTTGCGTCATTGTCATTTAATTAAAAAAAAAAAAGATTGTCACGTTACAAAGAAAACCGTAGGCGCCGATTTTACTACCTTTTTTTATTTTTTAATATTTTAAACCACGTAAACAGTTTCATGCGTTCTTGTCCTAATTAGAGATGTAAACTTCCGCGGGTGAAATTTTAGATGCCTTAGAAATGAAAGAAAAGTAGCTTTAATTAATGCGTTTGATAATTTACTTTGAGTGCAGTAAAAAGCGCCAAACGTCTCATAAAAATACGCTTTAATTGGTAATTCTTCTTGCATTGTTATCTTTGTGCACATACAAAGTCGTTCCTCCCTTTATTCACCGTGAAAAAAATATTTAAGAAAAAAAAAAGGAACAGAAACAAAAAAAAAAAAAAGCTGATGTTCTTGTGGTGCCGCCTACTCATTTGGATTGAAGAATTGCTTTTGTTACAAAGTACTTTCTTCCTACCTCGCGGCGACCTTCGATTCTTGCTTCAAGTACATTAAAACACAATTCAACATAACATTTTTCAGTCATTTTCCCGTGAAATCAGTAAACTAAGCTTGGGCTTTGAGACAGGTTCATTAAAACGGGAAGTACGCAGCGGCAGCGTCTTTAGAAAGCCAACTATAACTCCAAAGCTTATCTCTCGGGTTCGTTGATATCAACGTATTTTAACAATATATATATATATGTATATTGCAATTCGGAAGTTTAAATTATAAACCGTGCGCTTTCTTCCCTTCAAGCCGCTCTCCTATGTATCTCCAGAATAGCGATCCCTTTGAAAAAAAAGGAAGCGGAAAATGATCGGGCGTGCGGAATGGTGGACCGGCAACGTTGTCATACCCAGAGTTACGGGTGCCACACTCAAACGCGAAAGAAATAAAACGTCCCGCTGCTATAACGCGTGTTGCTAATACACCCTACATTGCCAAGTGGTCTATTGATTCAAGCGCTAGCCACTCGAACTACGAAATAATTTATAAAGAGCAAACAAGGAAAGGGGAGTTTTTGATTCGAAATGGATTGTCGTGTTGGCACAGTTGGTTGCTGTTCTCGGGTAGAGCAGACTCGTTTTCCGTAGGCGAGGAAGGTAGTGTATCCGTTGAAACTTCAAGGACAAGAAATAAAGTTAAGGGACTGCAGTACGCGGCTATAGCCGCGTATTGCAGTCCTTTTAACTGTATTTAGATATCGCTTCATGGTCCCTTAAATATGCTGCGCGGGGGATTCCGACTTGGTACATTTATGACGTTAGCTTCATCTCCACACTAAAAACATTCTAAAAATTCGCGACTTGTTGGCAAGCATGCCCCACTTCGGTATAGAAAATTAGCTCCGAGTGAGACTTTTGCCGAGGAGAAGCGCAATGAAGGAAGCCTGATGCCGGTGTGGTACGTAAGATGCCAACATTTCATTGTACTTTTCAAAACAACTTGAAGCACGTGGACATTCTAACAGTGCAGTTTACGAACGATGCCCAGCGAGTGGCGAGGCTCAGAACGCTGATTCGAACCAAGAAATCTATCAGGTAAACCATAAAGCACCATAAAAAGGGTCACATTTCTAGATCGATATGCTGCATGGGCTTCGAAATTCGCGGAGCTTGCTCCGCATATTACACTGTTAAGATTCCCGAGTGGGAAGCTGATTATGTGATACACATATGTGAAACCTCGTGTTACACTGTCGCTAGTCATTCTGAGTTTCCGACTGGAGTCGTCGTTCGCTATAGACTCTTTCCTCAGAGCTTTCTGCGACATCAGAGGGTACAAGAGACGCGAGAGTGACTTTTAGATTTCAGTTTTTGAATTAACGTTGTGAGAGCCGCAGTGCAGCTTCAACAAGCCCCCATGTTTTCTTTTCCCAGATGGGCGCTACCTGGCGACCAGCGAGGCGGTCAAGTTCATCGAGACATCGGCGGGCATTAACCATCACGTGGACGAGCTTCTGGCGGGACTGTTGCACCAGATCCGGCTCAAAAGCCACAACAGCGAGAAAGAGGGCCGCAAGCGGGACTCCGTTCGGATCCGGGGGCGCAACTCAAGCTCATCTTTCTCCGGCTGCAAGGCCAAGGTCTTTCTCAAGAGGTTTCTCCGCAAGGCCTGCTCCCGCTCGCGCTCCTGCGACGACCTACACGTCCTCTGAGCGTTGGGACGTCTTGCCGCTGCCCCGCTGGTGCCAGCGGAGTCGCGGCGACGGTCTCGGAGGTCGAGTGTGCTGGCGTTTCGGCGCGTGAGAGACGCTGTGGCCAAACCCCTGTCTCGCCAGAGACGCCCACGCGCCCAGCGCCCCGAGGGGCTGTTGCGCGAAAGGGAACAACGGAGAACGTCGCGAGAGCAAAGCGCTACTCTTTCTCGTGTTTCCACTCTTTTTCTTTTTCTCTCGATGGGAGACAAGTGGCGTGCTGTTGGGTTCCACGTACACGCGTCTCGCCGGAGAACAGCACCATTGCGCTTCCTCCTTCGTGTTCGGTGAAAAGACTTCAGGGAAATGTCTCGCGATTGTTTCTATATACTGTGGGTCATCTTTTTTCCACGTTTCATGGGTATGTGTGCCTGAGCCAAAATCGGACGGCAAGATGCCATTGCTTCCGAACACACCAGGATTGATCTGTATCGACGATGTGGTGTATTCGTTTTTTTCTCTTTTATCGGGTCTAGGGAGGGGGATTATGCCTTACCTTGCGGTTACGAATGTTCACTCGCTAGAAGACATCGACTAGCGCATAAGAATTCGGCAAATCAAAGGCTCATACTGGATAATGTCGTCCTGTGTCTTGGAATGTGGTGATCACCTTCACGCCATGTCTTAAAGACGACAAAGCGACTGCTGGTCAGCGTTTTGTTGGGTACGAAAGCGTGTTGAATTACTTACCGTTGAACAATCCTGTTGATATATCATGATGTGTTTGTGTCGCGCCATGCGAGGGAATGATAAAGCCGAATACGAGTTGAGCTTAGCAACCCGTCAGTTTGCCGCTTTTTTTTTACTTTTTGCACAGCGCGCTTGTAGTGTGCCGTTATTTTCTGTTTGTAACAGTTAAACAAGTACAATGCTAAAAATCTTGCTTCAAAGGGGCCTTAAAAAGTTTTTTCCTTCCCCATATAGACGCGGTTTATGGTCACCATATTTGAGTTTTTTCAGACAATATTTTTGTTAGTGGTCGAGCTACCACGAATAGGCTAGCACCGAGACGCAACATTATAAGCCTTGTTGAATGCTTGTTATTGGCGCAATTGTTGAATTTTTAAACATAATAAGAGAACTAGGACAAGTGTTCTACAGGTGTCGATTTTTTTAATCGCGGGTTGACGAGTCTTGCACTTACCAGAGTTTCTACTTTGCTCAGTGAAATGTGCTCCCTTGAAGTGTGTCCTGCCGTTCCAGTGTTAGTGGTACAGTGCTCTAAGCAGAGAATCGACCCAACTTGAGCTGATAAGTGACTAAACTTGAAAGCGGTCAGGGTCGACTTGAAGTTTCTAGAAGCATAAAACACCAAGATCAGAAACTGCGGCTAAACGCATGTTGCAGTCGCGGCTGCCAACAGCCGGGATGTGTAAGGCGTAGAACAGTGTATGTATTTATTTTAGAACGCTGCAACCGAAACAACATCGTTCTAAATGTTGCGTTCACACATAAACCTCCAAGCTGTGTTAAGCTCATGCATTAGATTCGTCATTTTCTAGTTTTTAATGGCTAAACTGAGAAAGAGAGAGAGAGACATTGCAACGCTCCTCAGTAATAAAAAAAAAGTTTTCAAACTCTTGCTATTAAAAATAAAAGGAAAAAGAAACAAAAAACATGGCTGACGAAACGAGAGTAAGCTGTTGTGAAGGCACACGGAGTGGACATCATAACGTCAAAGACGAGAACTTCCGAATGTTAATGGCGGCAATCGTCTAACGCTGGTGCCAGTGGCGAGGGGAAACCCGACGGGGTTTCCCCTCGAGTGTCTCAGAAGAAAGTGGGCAGAGCAGACGCAGCGACAGGGTCCGTCATCTGAATGTTTGGCGCGTTCCCATGGCTCGCGGAAGCTTCGGCGTTCCGAGCGATTCCGTGTCGTCGTTACTGACATGTCGAAGCGATGGTTCGCCGATGGCTAACTTGACCTGGCGTCCACTCAGCATGGATTGGTGCGTTGAGCTGTGCAGTTCCCGTCTAACACGCGTGACTGGAAAGTAAGGCGTGTGGTTTTCGCCTGGACGGTTGGGTGTGCGCGAAATTGCCAAGGGGTGCTCTTTTGTTCTTCTCACGTCACAGCTTACCGCTTCGATTAACGGGTTTCGCTGTTGTTTTTATTTGTTTTTGTTTTTTAAGTTGACGATAGTGCTAACTTGTTTTTGTCACTGAGGCCGTAAAAACTTGTTATTCCGATCTTGAAAAAAAAAAAATTGCCATATTTCACGCCACCCTGATTGGCCTAGCGCGCTGGGGTGCGCGCAAGGATCGCATGTGCCTTGCTGCCTCTCACGAATTTTCATCGGACACCAAGTCCTCTAGCATTAATGAAAAAAAAAATAAACTGTTTGTATGGTACTGCAAATAAGGACGCTATCACTGTTCCCCGAGAACGCGTCATGGCGTCCAAGCCTGACGATACAATTTGTCTCTCCTCTCGCGGATGGGCCTTCAGCGGCATCTTGGTGAGGAAAAAGACCTGTGCCAAAATGTAGTTAATCAAAAGGAGCTGGAGGTTAATGACTGCCCCGATGCTCGGCTGCCCGCTGGCATCAGATCAAGCTCAGTTAGGCGCTGTGTGGTCTATGTGGCTGTAAATACGCTCGTGTTTTCCCCTTGCTTGCCGACAGGTAAATGTCGCATTCTCGTTTTTTTTCTTTTACTCTAAAATGACTAAACTCGACGAAGCTCGCGCATCGCAGTTTGCCAATGCTTGCTTCAGCACTAAGGAGTCCGTCTTCTAAACGCGAGGTGGCGAGGTTTCGGGGGAATGGAACAGGGCTTTTCGGACATCCGCAAACGACAGAAAGCGCTAAATTGTCTACGCCTCAGTTATCGAGTGAAGGAAGGTAAACAACTTCCGCACGCGGGCGCGAATTAGTGGAAGCTATTGTCGTGTTTCGTTAGAGAGGTTTAGCAGTTCGTTTTCAGGGGCCCCATATCTTGGCGGGCGCTTGCTTCAGAGCACGCTGAGGCACCGGGGAGGCAAGTGGCAGCGCCTGCTCCTGATACCGACATTGTTCTGCGAAACAAACCGAAACAAAACAAAAGACGAACTGCTAAAACTCCATAATAATGGGGTTTGTGGCGTTTGTTGCTCTGACCGTGATGGCCTTTTGTGTTTTGTTCCTGCTCATTTTGTTTAAGCATGAGCAGCTACAGGCACCATACAGCATTTATATCGGAGCACCATCTGGATCTGTCATGTTTCGTGGCAAGTGTAGCAGTGTTGACCAACGTGATGTGTTCATGTCGTACACGGAAGCAATGTCAAGTGCCTGGGAGAGACATACCCTCTGGTATTGAATGACATTGTAAGTGTCTGTGCGTCCTGTGATGTTTTCAAGCATTCTCGGTTTTTTTTTTTTTTTTTCATGGTGAACGGAACTGCGTCATCGAATTTGCTTTCTGTGGTCTGTGGCCGACGCGCCATGTTACATACCTTGCAGTGGCAGTTCAGATTTTCCTAAATGACGGTACGTTAAGTCCTTGCCGGGTCCACAAACGTTCCCAAACTTTTACACATGCGTACTGCGGGGTGGAGATATTTGGCACAAAGCGCTGTTACACGAGACGATTCTTCATTTTTTTTTCGTACTCACTCTTACTCTGTCTCCTCAAGCGTGAAAGGACCAAAAACGAAGGGATCAAACCAAAACGTAACGCGAGCTCGACACACATGTAATAAATGATAGGGCGAATTTTGACACCGATCCTTCTTGTGACGTTTACGCGGTGCCCAATATTGTACGGTGTCACTTGTTCTAAAAAGAAACTATACATTACGTTAATTAGCCGTTCGGTTTACCATTACTGGATGTTCTGCAACGCATTGTCGGCGTCGATTGACAGGTGGCAAGAGACACTGACGGGAAAGGGGGGGAGGGGGGCTGCAACAAAATATGCGCGGGCCTTTATTAATCCTGACTTTCAAGCAATGAGCCAAGCACCCTATAAATAAAAACACTAACAGAAGAGAAAGCCGGAGAGTAAAGAATAAGTCAGAAGTGTCCTTTCTTTTTTTGATAACGCACCTATTTTTACGGCCACAGGCACAGGCAATGTGGTTACTTGTAATTAAAGTCGTTACAGCGCAAAGTACGAACGCTGTAGTGCGTTATTTCTGTCCGTATTTGCTTTTAACGCTGCGCTTTTTTAAAACTCGAAGTAAAATTAGAACATTTTGAAGCATGCTGGCAACACCAAATAGCTACATGACTGCGAATGGGTGTTCAGTATTCCGAATACAATTTTAGATTACAGTTACAATATCCAGAATTACAGAACGATTTCAAGCTAGGTCCCTTCGAACAAACGTTCAACTTCTCTTGGATGAATTGGTAGGATTTGTAGATCAATTAATTCTAAGTTGTGAAAGTAAGTGAACACGAAGTACATATTTTTTCAATTAAAAGTGGATTTACCGCGCCCGAAATATATATCTAGTCTGCATTGCGTAGTCTGATCTAAACAGTCTTAGTTGAGCAGTCCCACTTGGAAAAAAAAAATAGTTCATATATATCATTCCTTTTTTTTTTTTTTTTGTGCCCTTGGCTCACCGCGTTTTTTTTTCTTTCTAAGACATCTATATCGAGAGTTTCCTACAGATTGGTTTTTCAAAGTACCATGTACGCCGATTTAAGCTTGTGGACGCCGTTAAAAACACGAACAAAAAAAAGTAACACCCTAAAGGTGATGCATAGGCACAGCTTTAGCTCACAACGCTCATAGCTGCGTCGTCCATCCATAGGCGTTTACAGCGTCTAATCTACACCTTTGCTGGGGGAAACAAGAAAGAGCTGCCTCGTAACCGTGTGCCACCTCCTAAAGTAACCCACGTGTTGACCGTTCACCTTCGCGCGAGTTGTGTCGTGTTATCTCTTTACGATAATGTCGATTCATAGTAGGTAACTGTCAGCAAAATGCTAACACGTTGAGCGTCGTTTTCACGTAAAAAAAAAACAACAACAACATATAGTGAGGTTTTCTTAAGGGTCATCGAAGAAAATCATCTATAAAAGCAGAAGTATGTCGTTTCCACATGTCGCTCAAGTGCCATGCGCATGCCGTGACTGCAACCGAGTGTCAGTATACGCATGTGAAGAACGAAGGAAATGTTTTGTGAGACGGAAGGAACTTTAGAGAAATGTCTCTTCGGCTCGTAGTGACACGACTCAATTAGTGATTGCTGGACAAGGGGTGGGGAATTTCTTACGTTTATATATCTCTCTCTCTCTATATATATATAGCTGGCGACATCTTCGATAGACTGAGTGGTGGAACGAGCGAGCCTGCATTTCTTTCTGTCTGCCTTCGGTTTGGGGGGGGGGGGGGGGGGGGGGGGGGGGGGGGGGGGGCGCATGATCCCCCGGGGAAATCTTTGCCCCGCATGTTTTGTGCTGCCGACATCGGCACAGCCGAGCTGCCTTTCTTGAACGTAGAAGAAAAGCCAAGAGCGACGAGTTTGGCCGGGAGAACCGCGACGCAAACAGCAGGAGTAGACGCGATGTTGTGTGGCCCGGTCGTCCTGCCCAACTAACGAGGTCGGGTTGTTGGCGCACGCAGAAAGGACGCCAGAGAGAGAGAGAGAGCGCGGAAAGAGAGTAATTACCCCTCGCAGGACAACTCTCCGCCGAGAGATGCTTAGTCGCTAGATGAGGCCGAAACTTGTTCGGTCCACATATTTCTTCTGGACATTGGGCCAGCGGTTGGATTACCTGCAATTCTAGCTTTTCCAGTCCCCCCCCCCCCCCCCCCACCCCCCCCCCCCCCCCTTGCCCCTCCCCTATCCCCCCTTAATCTTCGGGACTCATTGAGTCCTGAGGATTTGGAAGGCAATCTGCTGCGGGAAGTACTAATTTCGTGATTTACGTTAATTAGTGCAACTACTACGTTTCAGGCTTTCGCGAGAAAGATCTCCCCGGCGGCATTGCCCTGCAGGTGGTATATACAGTTCAGTAGTAGAGTGATTACTTTACGAATTAGAAGAAATCATTTAATTTCCGGGCATCTGCCGACATCGAGGTCGATCCATCTCCACCTCTGCGAGATTAATGGTGCCGCTTGTCCTATACTTCGTCTCACCCTACGATGGACTAAAGGCCAAAGCCATGGGCCGCCAGGTCCAATCACGTTCCACGCTAAACTATGACACGCTTAACATTGATAAGGGGTGGACGAATAATGCTTCGGATCCAAAAACACTGCGTCATTTCTACAGCTTTGACACTGCAAACTACTGCAAACAGCCTGTACGTCGTGGCTTTTTTTTTTAGCGATGTAACATTGTTGAGTCATTCACTGCTATTCAATTCTAACCACTGTCCGCCCATCCCCATGAGTGATCTGAGACGCCGGCACTGATACGTGCATCAGAGCGCAATGCACGCAATTTCCAAGTGGCTAGTGATTGGATCTGGAGGTCCGTAGCTTCTGCCTTTAGTCCATCGTAGGGTGAGACGAAGTATAGTGTTGCCGCCAAAAGAAAGGAAGGCGCTTATTATTTTCAGTTCAGGATTTATTATTACTTTTTCTTATTAGAAAAGATGAAGCATTACAGTGGCTTCGCTACGTACTTTACCCAGTTCTCCCTTAGCATTCAAAGAATGCTTTCCGTGCGTGACATCACACTGCCGTAATGCCATGGCCTTCGTAAGCCAGCAAGGCAAGCGCAATGTGTGAAGGGACCTGCAGCAATATTTCCGCACGGCAATACACAAATACAGTGTTTTTTTTTCGATATTCGATTAAATATTTTCATCGAAATTTTATTAAACTATCACACAATATGGTATGCAGATACGCCATAAAGAAATGTTAATTTCTGGATGGTCAGGTTAGGTGAAAAAAAAAGCATAAAAACGTATTTGTTAACGTCACGGTTCTAAGATGTCTCTTGTCTGGAAACCGTCAATTTCCACATCTACTAACCTCTCGTCTTCCTCCTCTCCTTTTTTTGTGACAGTAAGGTAAAGAAAATATTATTTAAAAGAAGTATTTTTTTATATTTATTTATAAGATTAGAAACGCGCGATACTCGCTCATTCGGACAAATTGAATCTCGGTACTATGTATTGTTGTGAGTTACTGCGATGGCTGACATCGCCGTTCATCCATCTTTTTTTTTTTTTTTATGATCCTTGTTTTTGGCTTTTGCTTCCATGGATTAGTAGGCCCCGCTTTCGCTATGCGCCAGCGCACGGTAGCGCCGTCTCGTACACATCCACTGTTTAGTATCCGTTTCCATGACACTGAAGCTAAGTTGGTGACAGCTTTTGACACGTAAACGCAAAATAATAATAATAACAATAAACTGCGAAGTTTTTTTTAATGTTTGGC